ACATTTATTATTAGAAGTAAGGTAATTTCAAGCCTATCCTCTTTCTGCATAAGAAAAAAAAATAATATGATTTGCAATCATACTTTATATGTTACTATTTTCGTACTCTGACTCATAATCCTCACGAGTATTTATTTATTCTTTGCATTTACGCACTTGAATAAATTTTTCTATTGCTCATCTTGCTTCGACTCCATAGTTGCTAACTAATAGTACATTAATATTTATCAAATTTATTTTTTTCAATGACCTTTCAAAACTTATTGTATTTTCTTGAAAATGCATTAAATATTGCATTTGATAATTACTTGAAGATTTTAATATCTCTGTTCGTTAGATAAATATAATATTATTATTATTTTTTATGTTACACGTTTTTTAATAAGATACTTATGAAAGAGTATGTGTAGAAAGAATATTAATGGACCAAAAGTGTGTCGGTTTTAGGATAAAAGTTCATCATAAGTGTCAAAAAAATGAGAACAATTAGTATTAGTTTTTTGAATAACTATTAGAGTTAGAAGAACTAATAAAAAAAAATGAGTATTTGAGCATAACAGTTTTTAATATATAAAAGAATTAGAATGGATTTTACTTTGGACTTATTAGATCTTTCATTAACATAGGCAACTTATAAGGTATGAGTGAATGAATAGTAGAAATTACACCCACACTCGCATACAATCGTATCGATGTTTGTAAGGTCGACTGATAATTCGAAAACTTTTTACGATGATTTAACCTATTACTGATATCTGTATCTAGGAATGTGACTATGCTTGAGTATATATTTATCGTCATCGTTTATGGTCGTATTCGAACAGGTTTTTCACTTTACTTCTGATAAAAAAATTGATTTAAGTAAAAACTTATTGATCATTGATGTGGTCGAATGATTTAAAACAAAAATAAAAAAATTGATGAGTTTTGTTAAGTAATATGTGTTAAAAGTGTTAATTAATTGGCAAAACAATTCATTTCACTCTTGAATGTTATATAAATTTCGTTTCTTTGTAGTCAAACAATCAAATGTCATGTTCAACTCTACAGATATAGATTTTGAAAGTATTTTATTTTATTGCTTAATGTAATCTAACAGACGAGTATTTATTTTGTTTGATATATCATATAAGACAAAATAATGATAAAATAAAAGTAATATTGAGAACATTCTATTGTAATGTCTTTTTTTCTATACATATATTATTCGGATGTTTTTTTGACCTGCTTGGATAGGATGCATCTGTCTCTGACGTCAAACATTTATTATTAGAGGTAAGATATTTTCAAGTCTATTCTCTTTCTAAATAAGAGGAAAAAAATAATAATACGGTTTGCAGTCATACTTTATATGTCAGTATTTTGCGTACTCTGACTCATTATTCTCATGAGTATTTATTTATTCTATGCATTAATGCACTTGTATAACTTTTTCTATTGCTCATCTTGGTTCTACTCCATGGTTGCTAACTAACAGCACGTTAATATTTAGCCAGTTTGTTTTTTTATATGAACTTTCAAAAGTTACTAGACTTTATGTAAGATGTATTAAATATTGCATTTGATAGTTAATTGAAGATTTTAATATCACTTTTCATTAGATAAATATAATATTATTATTTTTTATGGTACACGTTTTTTTAACAAAATGCTTACTAAAGAGTATGCATTGAAAGAATATTAATGCATAAAAAGTGTCTCGGTTTTAAGATAAAAGTTCATTATAATTGTCAAAAAAATCAGAACAATTAGTATTAGGTTTGTGAATAACTATTAGAATTAGAAGAGGTAATTAAAAAAATGAGTATTTGAGCACAGCATTTTTTAATATAGAAAATAATTAGAACGTATTTTACTTGGAATTTGTTAGATCTATCGTTAACATAAACAACTTAAGGTGTGGGTGAATGAAAAGTAGAAATTACATCCACACCCACATCCACACTCTAACTAATAATGTATATCAGAATTGATTATTGGTTCAATTTATTCTTTCAGTAATTATAAAGTAACGGACATACTATGTTCGAAAGATGGCTATAATATTTTGTTCTATATTCTAAAGATCAATTACATTTTACATTGGTTATGAGCATGTCTATGATTAAGAAGGAGAATCTTGATTTGATCTCAGACTTAGTGGTAAATCTTTAACCAAGTCGTATATTTTACATAGATGTTCTTGAACAAAATTTTCGATGTAATTATATATCATAATGTTTCTAATTCAATAGTAAAATAATCGACAGCAACTATGTATACTGCTTTAATAGTCAAGATGTTTTCAACAATATAAAAAATTATACGTTAATTTATATAGAATATAAGTAAAAATTAGAATGAAATAACTACTCTTTGATATTGTTCAGCATATGTCATATTGTATAGTTAAACAAAAAAGAGAATGAAAGTAAATGTCAAGATTTAATTTAAATGATTTTCAAAAACTAAAATCAATCATTGTGCATATTTACATTTTATTTCTTATCTCGTCATAATTATTAATAAAACAATAAATAATGAATAAAAAATTTCACTATTCTTAACACTCTCATTAGTAAATGTTGATGTTACTTTGTGTTTTTGTGTTGTATTTCGTCGAATTGGAACAAAAGTAAACTTTTGTGTTGTTCGTAATTTTGTTACTTTTGTTGTAGTAAAAGTATCCTGTTCATCGTATGTATTCGATGAGAGAAGAATATCACGAACACGATATGTGAATGGAAATTCTCCTTGATTACAAAATAAACCTGTATAATCATCTTGATCAATAGACCATAACATTGTTCCACCTAAATTTAATGTTTTAGCATATAAAACCTTAATAGACAAATTTTGTATTCATTATTATTAGTTAAAAAAAGTTCGATCAGTACTTTAACAGTGATACTTTTCAAATCATCATATCCAATCCATTGTTTTTCCGAAGGATTAGAAGATGAACTATAAGCATAAGGAGCTTGAGCATCCGTATCAAAAACACGTGTCCAATTAAATACTCGTAATTTTTGACAAATCTAGTGAAATATATACGTTGCTCTTAATATATAACCTAACATATTTACCTCAAAATATGCTAGTGTACCATTTTCTTTTGTAAATGGTCCAGCTATAATAGATGAAAAAAGAATTTTAATAATTTAAATCATATATTTATACCTAAACCACTACCAATGGTTTCTGTACCGATTGAAATTGAATTTGAATTATTCATTAATGTAAAACTTCGACCATAAAGTGCTAAACCTAAATTAAGTTTCTCTGCTGAACAACCATTAGACATCCAATAATGAATTGAATGATTCTATGAAAACAAATCAATTGTTGTAAAATAATTTTATCATTATCATAACTTACGACATTCTTCCAATGTCTATCATCATCTTCATCAATATAATTTTTTCCATAAAGTGGTGCATTAATACCAGTGACATTATCCCAAGCACCATAATAATCGTATGTCATAACACTAACATAATCAAGATAACTAGAAAGCAAAGAATATTTTAATATAATTAAATTATTAATATAATATTTACTGGCAAAAATCAGGTACTACATAACCATTATCAATTTTTATTGGATCAGCTGAAACAGCAGCAGTTAAAAGAAAAGATTTACTATCATTATGAAATGATTCATGCATTTCCTAAAAGAAAATATTTTCAATAAATCTTAATAATTAATTATTTACTTTTATTAAAATATTAAATTGTTCACGAGAATTATTCATAGCACCTCGTTCTATATCACCTGGAAATTCCCAATCCTAACAAAAAAAAATAATTTCTATATTAATTAATTATAATCATACTAAATCAATTCCATCAAAATCCCATTCATGTAAAAAATCTTTTGTTCGTTGAATAAATGTTGTACGCGTTGTAGAATTTGTTAAAATATTATTAAATGCTTCACTACCTGCTGTCCATCCTCCTACGGCTATTAATAATTTCAATGAAGATTTCTGCTGTTTTAATTTAAGTAATCTATGATACAACGGCTAAATCACATATAAAATAATTGTTAAAAAAAGATAAAGATAAATATATATGTATTTTAATCTACCGTGCCAAATATATCTGTATGATGTGTATCATGTTTTTCACTTGGTTCAATTTTAAATGTAGTGGGATTGATCAATGCAAAAGCAACATGAATATGTGTACAAAGCGATGGATGAATGGCATCCGGATATAGTATAGGAGTATTTGGAAGACGATAAAGAGACCAATTTGCATAATAACAAACAATTCTCATATCTATAAAAGTAAAATTAGATATTTTTTTTTTAAACTATTTTCTTGTTTACCCGTTGACACATATGAAAGAAATACAAAGAAAGAGAACAGTTGAAGTATGCTCGACTGCATGTTGATGAATAAAATGATGATGCGAATCGTATGTGTATATGTGTCAGTAGTTAGAAAAGAAACGAAATAAAAAGGAGGAAGCATATCTATTGTTTGTTCAGAATAAAAAGAAAAATAAGAATGAAGGATTAACGTTTTCGACCTCATTGAGATTACGTATGTATTGATCGAGTTCAAGGATCGATTTACATTTCTTTCACACATTTAACATTCTTTTCATTGTATTATATCACCTGTTTGTTAAATTCACAATAGACGGCTATGTTCAAAATAAATGAGAGATCAACTGATATCTGAACTATCATCGTAAAAGAAAAAATAGGTTTTTTCATTAAGATGATCTTTAAATGTACTTCTTAGTTATTGAGATGACATATTTAATATAAACAGAAAACCATAAATTTCAAATAAAAATATTAATTCAATTGTCTAATAGCTCATTAATGTGATCTCTACAAGCTCATCAATAAATATCAAGTGAAACAGAAAAAACTCGCTATGTGGGTCTTCGGTTTTAGATGATTCAAAATCATACTTTCATCTATTAAATAATACAATAATTACCATCATATCGTCAAAATATTAACGCTCGCTTTTTTTTATATAAAATATTTAGTGTATATTTTTTGGAATATTGAGATTGAGAAAATAATATTCTGTATGCAATAGTTAGCACACAATACATATTTGAAGTCGCACAATTGAAATTCCGGTAATAGATAGTACCTTGACTTTGTCGAGAATACGAGATAGAGTATTAAAGAATTGCTACAAATAATATTACAAAGATTTTTTTGAAATTTTCTAATAACTACAAATACCATATTATCGAAACTCAAAAGTTGATATAAAGAAATCTCCAACAAGTCTTTCAAACGTATTCTTCAGCAAGGATTATGATTGATCATTTAATTATTAATGCGATGCGAAGCAGAAGTATTTATGTAGTCCTTCGTGAGTTAGTTTCCTTTCTTTCTATCTTTCTTACTTTGTCAACATACGTATTCAAAGTGATCACTTTCTGTCACGATTATCTCAGCAATGAATCGTCCGAAAATACTCGTTTAAACACGAAATCAATATATCGAAATCGTACTGCTACGATTTGTTTTCCAATTTTCAACTGGACGTTTAATTCGTTTATAGGAAGCGTCGCAAAAACACGATTTTGACTTTTTCAGATTTCGAGATAATTAAAACGAAAATGAAAATCAAATGTTAGGCGCCACTTTTCTCTAACAACTGTTTCATTGCTGAGATAATCGTGGCAGAAGCTGATCACTTTGAATGCGTATATCGAGAAACCAAGAATTCATATCACTCCCCGTTATCTCTACCTACACTTACGTAATTCTTATATTTTAATTTTATAAAATATCTAATAGTATTTACGTTTTAATATGTGTATTTTTTCTTTCTAAACAATTTTTATTTTTCATATCAAAATTTCATAACTCATTCTGAAAGTGAACTTTCATCGATGTGCTCAAATTTAACTGTAACACATTCATTTTTATTGTTCATTGCCAATATTACAAAGCACATCTTTAAAATGAACTTCAAGTTTTACTATAAACATTTTGATAGAAATTTATCTGATATTTCAACTTAACGTATTTATCCGAATAGAAAGGAAGATTTATTTTGTTGTAAATCTATCCTTGAACTGTAATAAGTATATGTGTTTGTATAACAGATTTTATTTTGATTCATCACTGAAACTTGTATAAAATAATGTCATTCATATTTCATGTCTAAAAATGTATCAATAGGTTTCTTTTACCATTATTTTTCATTATTACATTAAAGAAATTAAGTATCTAGGTATAGTATAGAGAACATGATCAGGTTTTATTTAAGATCTTGGTTTATCACAAATACATGGAATATTTATTGATCATTGTACTAAATTGTTATTTAAAAAGTTTAGAAATTTTCATTTAAACGACAATAATGCATATCTTTTTTATTCATATCAATCATTTACTATAATAAGGAAGTGTTTGATATAATCTATTCATATTCAAGCGGTATAATATTACACGTTATTTTAATAAAAAAAAAGAATGTCTTTGAGACTAACTGGAATTTAGTGTTATGCATATTTACATTAAATTATATTTATTAATACATTAAGCAAATCTGAGCTACTATGCTCTTGTAGATATGCGAAGATAAAATACAAATATAATATTGATATATCCACTATACTCTCAAATGATGACTTAGGAAACATTATGTCTCCATCCACCGTTGAAACTCTATCAGTTGAAAATTAAATTATGACACACTGACAACTACAAAAGCAAAACTGTTCAAAACCAATAATAATAGAACGATGTATAGTCTTAGTTCATATCAATCTATGGAGTACAATGGTCAGCATTGATTCACTAGTCAACAGTGTATGAGATTAAATAGTTCTCAATGGAAGTTATGGAATACGAAATAGTTGAAAACTAGAACTGAAAATACCAAAAGGTGTAGTTGATCTTATTTACTGAATTTTATATGTATGAGTATCGAATGTACAAATCTAAAATGATGCATACCATATTCTCGCTTTTGAATAGTCTTTGATTCGAAATAAACTCCCTCTATTTTTGCGGTATTTTTTTTGATTTAATACATATTATTACAAGAACTGAAGATTAAACTTTTTGTCATATTAACTTATCAATTTGGTGTTAGCAAAATCTAATAATTAAAAGTGTCTCTCTTCGTCATACTATAACACATGTATTCGATTTTTTTCTTTGTAAGATATTTTTTTCAGTCACACTATGTACTCCTAATATTAACGTGCGTATAGAACAGAACGACAAAAATCATATGACGAACATAAGTATTGTATAGTTACATATTGTCTCAAAAGAATAAGCGCATGGATAA